AAAAAAAAGATAAACAAAAACATATCAATAGCATAAAACCTGAGCTTTATAATTCATAGTAGTCCAATACGTTAATATTTAAGCATCCAACTGGCTTAGTGCCTGATGAAAGACATCATGTTCTAACCTAATAAACAACACAAAATATAGCACTGACTTGTTTTACTCAAAACTTGGATCCACAACTTGTGCTCAACTTTGTCAATGGTTTTAGCAGTCAGTAGTGAGTGCCTAGAAGTTGCTTTAAATTAACTTAAATTACAAAGAGTAGTTCTTCTATACGAAACACTTATGTGCAAACTGCGTGCGAAACCCGAAATTTCGGGGTTATAAGTGATAAATTAGCTAAAGTCAAAACTGGGTACAAACTGGATACCGGTGGCCCCCCCCATAAACCTGCTACTGCTGCCTGCATTGTAGGGACACTGAACTTGATAAACAGGTTATAAGTACTAGTTGACTGGTCAAAAGAAATTTGTGTGGACAGAAATTCGTGTCGCACAGAATGTACCTAAGCATTTCACATTGAAGAATCTGTTAATTACAAATTCAACACCTTAAAACACACTACTACCACTTTCAATATATATAATCAAAATTTTGTGGACAATTTTAAAGGTAATTTGTATGATCAACATTGAAAACAACTGAAGGTTATCAGTAGACGTACGTTGCCATTTTCTATGATAGTGAATCAAACCATTGTTAATATGAATGCCAGGGGTTATATATGATCACCAATCAAAATTAGAAAATTAGCAAATGATGAAACTGTTATCTATTCTAATGACTTTAGTTTTTGCATAAATTAGAGGAACCTTGAGTGACTCAGAGAACTCTACAAAGAGAAGTGTTGAAGTTAGAGAGATGAGTGGTTCAATATTAAATGCAATGGACCAACTACTTAAGTCCATCGTACTCAATTGCCAACAAATCTCAATCATCATCCAATGGCTTTAAAATATCTAGCCAAACTAAACTATATTATTGTAGCTTATAATTGTTCTTTTAAAGTAAAAAATTACCATTTTCAAAGTATGGAATCAGAAGATATACCATCATTTACCAACACATTTTAAAAAAAAATTTAATTTTTTAAGAGAATCAAAATACCTGATTGCGCTCGGCTTATGAATAGGATCCTCAATAACTTTCTTCCAAAAACACAAAACCTTTATCTGAGAAAAATCATTCAAACCCAATTTGAAATTAATTTTAAGTAACCCATTTTTCAATAATCAATTAGCTGAAACAATATCTAAACCCACAAAATCCAAGAAAACCCATAGAAGTTTTAGAATGAATTTTAAAAAAAAAAACAAACAAGCTCACGATAATTATAATCGGTCACTAGTGGATTGGATCCTTGATCGGTCAACAACTTAAGCTTTCATAAGTTGGTGTGCAAAAATCAATATTAAAAAACAGAATGATGGGTGTTCTTGTACATACCCTTAATCCCTACGTCAATTGCATCCACTATCATATGCGAACTCAACTCCTCGCAATTGCGACCTCACGCAAACTCAAACTTGTCAACAACTCGAACTCAAATCCTCGCACCTGAGACCTTACCCCGAGTTCAAAACCTCGTCCTAACGACCTCACAGGAGCTCAATCATTTATGACCAAATATCTTCCTACGTTACAAATATTCTCATTGATTATGTAACGTTCCCTTCATTAATTGCCTTTTCCGTTATAGAATTAATGAACTAGCCGTTGTCCCAAATCTCCTATATAAACAAACTACGTAGGCTTGATTCTGGGACTTGGTCACTTCCAGATACGTAGGCAACTATCTTCTCCAAGATAGCTCAGCCACTTCCTCACTTAATCTCTTTTCCAATCTACTTCGTTCAACCCAAGCTTTTCTGCATTTACATTGGCATCGACTGTCTGTGATCATTTACATTGGCATCGATTTCTAATACCTATCACCGGAAAAATCATTCTTCACTTTCTCTACCTAAAAACATGATTTCCATCAGCTAAGAAAAATTTGATCAACTCACCCAGAGACTTGATGGACAACAAGTCCAACTCACCAAGCTGGCGGCGGATAATGCAGTGTTGAAAGCCACCACTGACCAAAGCAACCCCACCATTTTTGGTGACGACAACAATGGCATTGCCAATCAAACCATTCCCACCACCAGCAACACCAACCCTGCTCGAACCATGGCTGACATCCAGGAAGCCCATACCCAACTCCTTCAACTTTTGGAAAAGCTTGATAAGATTCACCAAGAAACTCTGAAACCCAATTCTACGCAAAAAGTAGCCACATAAGCAACACTTCAAGCTAAACAACATAAGGGATTTGGTTGATTTTTCAAAGGCATTTCAAGAGGCAAGAACCATAACTTGTAGAGAGAGCATATTGTGAGAAATCCTCCCATCTTCGTTCCTTCTCTCAAGCCAATCTATTCAAACCTATTGAAAGTTGAGTGAGTGTGATTTGTGGGTGATTTATAAACCCATTGTGAGCAAATTCTTTGATTTCTCATTTGTTCTATCAAGAGGATTGTAGAGAGAAAAACCCCATCTTTGTTCTTGAAACAATTTGGTAAAACCCTAGATCTGAGGATTTAGGTTAGGGTGATTGAGATTAAACCTTATAACAAAACCCAAGTGGTGGATACTTGGTTAGGGCCTAACGAACTTGGTCCCACTTCACTCAAGTTGTAGATCCAACACTAAAGGAAGTGGTGTAGAGTTTGAGGAGGCAAACATAGGCTTTGAGATTCTCTTAATACAAATAAGTAACTTGAAGAGTAGAAGTAGGCAATTTGTCAAACCACTATAATCTTGGTGTTGTGGTTTGCTTCTTTGTCTTTGAGTTTCTTCTTTATGCTTATGTTGTTTGTTAGTTTAACATCTCTACAAACCATCCTATCAATCTACTAGTAGGTTTGTATTGTTGGTAGAGGAATGGGTGAGAGTGCCTCTTTCTCTACTCACCCCCTCATACTCCACAACAAACCTAGAACTAGGATTGGGTTTCTTAGTTCAAGGGTTTAAGAGAGATTTATCTTTTTTGACCTAAGTTGAACAAGGATCCAAGGACTAGTGGATTACTTGTGTGTTTATTGTAGAGATTTGAACTATCTTGTTTTCTTCTTTATGTTGTATGTTTGTTGGATGTACATCTTGTTGTTGGTTTGCTTTGGATAGATGTTTAATTCCGCATTTGTTATATCCTAAGCTTATCTGTTTTTATCAGTTTTAACTGTTGGGTGAATCTTGTAGCAAGTAGTTTTTAAAAAGACTATTCACCCCCTCCCCCCTCTAGTGTTTGGACACCATTGTGTAGGTTTATCAAGTCATTGGCTATGTCATTTCTACATGGCCATTTTTATAAACACCAACACAAGAAATCATGAATAGGTTGTACCAAGATCAATACACATTACTGAACTTGGTAGCTTCCTCTTTGGCAACAACGAGAATAGAGAAAGACATCCTGGAATAAAGAATTTCAGTTATAAGTACCCCTCGTTTTGTAGTTTTCAAATAACTTTTTCCTAGAAACTCACATGGCCCTAAGGCCCTTAGTGTTTATTTAATTTTTTTTTAACACTTACGGTGGCACATGAATATAAAAACATAGCCCCAAATTCCTTAACAAATATCATTCATAACATCTCTCTAGGAAGAGAGAATAGCCAAATAGTATACTCAGTACATCCTCTCATTGTGAACAATAATATATCAGCAAATTACATATTTCAGAGATTCACCTGCATGTTTTCCAAAAATAGCAATCTATGGATACTACAATTTTTTTTTTTTTTGTTGGCAAGTAGGGTTGAGGGTCCCCGTAGAGAGAACAATAAGGATAACGAGCGCTTCGCCCGCTTGGCATGCGGCAAGAGCAGCGCATAGAGAACAATCACTAAACCAAAATCATTTTTTCGATCTATAAAATTAAATACTGCAGGGGCCCCTGTTTCCTTGAAATCAGGTGCTTGTGTTGCATGAGGTATTCAGTGGTTTCAACCTTACAATGTAATGTACACATGGAAGAAGAGGCCATTGTAGACGCTACATTTTTTGATAATGCCAACAGATAAATGTCACCAAGGCATGAAAGGATATATGCCACTATTTTTTTAAGGATGTGGGAAATTCATTGAAGAATGAACTTCTACATCAACAGTACTATAGTAGCTTTCATTGTCCTATTCTTGTAACTAAAATAGATTACAAGTTGTTCCATATATGTTCTTGACACCTAAGGCTTTCATTTTTGTTGCTTCCTACTTGTTTAATCCTTAGTTTTGACATTAATCATGGACCTCTCATCCTCATCAGAACTTAGTGCAAGCCTGAACCCATAGTAATTATCGACCATCATTTTGGTTGGTAGTTCAGACAAGAAGGAAAAATTATATATATATATATGATAAATTAGTTCTGCTGCTATAGATATTCAAAATTCTGGACTCATGACTAATAGAGTGCTTAATTATTTATGGTCACTCAGTCTACTGTTTGGAGGAAGAGAATCATAGAGTTCTTCATTGGGGACAAACCCTATCTACATGGATCGGATTCAACAGAAACATAAATCTGAACTCTCTTAATATCTATTGAAAATATGGATAATCTGACATATTGATATTGAGTTCTTCGAATGTGTTAAAACCCCTGAGCATAATAACATTTTCCAGTTTGATCTTGAAAGGAACATAAATACAGCATCAGGTATAACGAACAAGGTACTCATAGACAAGCTCATTATGTGAATCAATCAATATTTTCCCTAAAAAATAAACTTAAAAACTGTGCAAATATCAACAAAACTATTTAATGGAAAACAATCCTTTTTTCTTTTCT